TTTTTTAAATAATCCATTCTTTAAGTTTAACAGGAAGAAAAGAGGCTCCAATGTTAAGGTTAATTAATTTTCCCCACCCAATTAACCCACCTGGAAAAAATCCAGTCAATAAGAACGGAGCTGTTTGTGTTGGTTTACTGTACAGAATGATGTCTGAGGAAAGACACTGTGTTATGCTACTTATGTTTGTCTATGGAGAGCTCAGTTCTAAAAAAAACAAACAAAAAAATGTTCATTTATTACCCCCCCCAAAAAGTGTGTGCAGTTTTTAAAAAGGAAACCTTTTTCTTTTTTTTCTCTTTTTTGCCAATTAAAAAAAGGAGAAAAAAAAGCACATACAATCACAATACCTTTGACCTCAAAGGCTTCTTTAAGAAGCCTATGATGTTTGAATAAGAATTATTTTAAAACAAAAAAAGGGTTATCATGCATCCCTGGATACCAGGGAGTCTGTAAGTCATGCAAATTTCCTCAGTCTAAAGTTTAATGTTTTCAAAATACTGTCACCTAATTTGCTGTTGTTTAACTGCAGTTTGATAATTTAGTTAGAGTATCACTTCATCAAGTTTTACAATTTTCATTTATAACTCAGGAGCAATCTTTCTCTATTCCCAAGGATACTGCCTCTACCTGGTACAACTAGAAAATGTCTAGGTACAAATTCTACCAGATTTTGAATGAACCAGAAAATTATAAAATAATATGCAGGAAAACCTCATTAAGTTATTAGTATCTACGCAGGCTCTTACACTTGAGCTGAACTAAGTTCCTGGGCTACAAGGGCAAAAAAGTAATTTCTTCTTGGAAAGATTCTACTATTGATTTTCTTATTTTGTGTGTATGTCACAGATCTGTTTAGCTGTATGTGTCCTTTGATAGGTTTCTTTCCCTACCATGTTTGCAATCCACATAATCTATAGAGAAGCCTTTTATAGATAATAGTTCCTAAATACTGACATAAAAGTAACTTCCTGCTAACATGACCATTTCCATTGAACAGAAATTTGTATCAAAATTTGAAGAAAATTGACAAAAGTCACTGCTGCCCTGAAAGAATGTTCATAATTAACATAATATTTATCCTTATGTTTAAAAAAATCTACAAAAAGCAATTGTTTAAGCCTTAACTTACTAGATACTTCTGTCAATATGTTTTTGGAAGTTCGGTGTGTTGCCTAATCCTTGATTATTCCAGTAGGGAATGCTCAGTAAATTAAAGAAAAAACTTCCCATTTTTGGAAGGTTATCACATATATAGAAAAACAAGTAGCATTCACTGAATACCTATATACAAAACTCCATTTATATGACATGAAAGTATTCTTTTGTGGAACTCTGCTGATGTTTGTGTGTGTTTTAATTAAAAGTTTAGCAATAATTAGAAATAAATTTGAATAAAGTTCCAAGTATTTTTGCTCTATTTAAATTAACATCTTAATCCTGGGTCTCTAAGGGTCTTGTGAATTTCAATTTTTTTTAACAACTATTAACTTCCTCCTAATATATTAATAGATTTAGAAATAAAAATGCAACCAATATTTTAGATCACTTAACTACTCAACATTTTAGATTACTATGTTAGCCTATTTTTTAGATACTGCTATACTCTATTGGAGTCCAATTATAAAGCTTTTCCTGGACATTTTTGGTAAACGATAAAGGAGAAACACAGAGAGCAACATGTAACCTGGAAGGAACGGTCGGTAATAAAACCACAGGTCTAGAGGCCAAGTGACCTTGAGTTTTAGTTCTCAGCTCTATTATACCTAGCTGAGTATTCTTGGGCAAGTTATTCAATCTTTTGAGACTCAGTTATCTTCACCTAAAATGTGAAAGAGATTAAATTAGGTGATCATTAAGGTCCTTTTCAGCTATGAGATGCTAAGATTTTATATTTCTTCTGAGAAATGAAATTCCAATCCAAAGGAAGGCAGTGTGAATAAATTGGAAAGCTTGGACAAAGGTGAGGTAGTAAATTTGTGCAAATGTAATCTGGACTGGATTTTACATGTTATTCATCCAGAAAAACCCTCAGGTCTTTATCCTGAGAAGCCCCCAAGTCACGATACCACTGTAACTCAAAAGTCTAACGAAATGCTAAAGGGAAATAAAGACAAAAACGACCACACCTCACCTCCCAAAATCTCTATGAATGGATTGAGATATCACGGTATAAAGTTCTTAGGTGTATGTATGTCCACCTCCAGATATGGTAGTCAAGTTTGTAATTCACACAAAGAGGGGCAAGATGGTTATTGTTGAAAGATGACCAAATCTGGAATCAGAATCTTTTCACAGAATCAAAAAATGTTGAGGTTAGGAGGGAGAGCTTGGTGATTTCCTCCTCCAATCTTACACTAGAGATGAAAAAACTTCTGTCTGAGGTCAAACAGATTAGTAGTAGTAGAAGAAATGAAAAACCCAAATCGATGAGGTTTTAAATTTAAAAAGAAATAGCCGAAAAATCTTTTGGATTTAATATTATTTACAAAAAATAATCAAATGGTTTATGTACCAACAGTATGAATCAAGTGCTTAAAAAAAACCTCATATACAGAGTACCTTACAATTCTGCATAGAGGAGAAGAATCATGTGTGGGATATGATCAAAGACTAAGACTGTTTAAATGGGAACTGGGACTGGGGAAGGAGGACAGGACTTCAAACAAGTGAAGAACATCACGGTGCTGGGGAGTGAGCAGACTTAGTGTGCTTTCATGAACAGAACAGGAGCCCGTGGGTTTCTATTTAAGGAGGTAACTTTTGGTTCAACATTTGGACAAACTTTCTAACCAATACCCCAAATAACTTGATCTAGAAAGTTGAATTTGCCCTCACTGAAAATGTTTAGGCAGAAATTTGTTTTGGTAGCTTCTAACTAACCAATTCTCAGGGGTAGGAATTTCGGTGAAATAACCTAAGACTTTCTGAGTCCACTTGCTATCCAGGGAACCGCGGTGCTGTGCACCAGCGCCCACAGTAGCCCGCAGTTCAGACTGCCGCCCTGTAAGTCGCACACCTGTAGCTCAACCAACTGAGTGAGGCTGGGGAGGCTGACAGATACTTAGGAAAAAATAAACAACTTGAAAAACTGAGATAAGAAAGACAGAGTCTAGATTACGAAAATGTATACCTTGTGAAAAACAAAACCAAGACAAATATAACTCTGAACGCCTATTTTAAAAGACATCCCCGAATTATAGATTTGAGTAGTACACAGGCAGGACGTTATTTTAATGTAGGAGAAAAGGTAACTTTTTAAAGAAACATAAAGTGAAATGACTCTTCAGGTAGTTATTAAAGTATGATCCCCTAATTAGTGAGCTTGAGTTGATAGGATTCATGAGTCCTTATCAGCCATCTAGAAATCTAATTTGTAAACTGAAGTTTATTGTAATTCATTTGGTGGCAAAGTATGACCAGACCTGAACTCATCTGGCTTCAAGTGATCTGAATGAGACTATCCGTAGTCAAATATTCCTCTTAGAGTGAATATTCTTGCACTTCTCTGTAAAACTGTAGAACTATTTATGCATTTACTACAAGTCCTACTCTAGACTCTGCTATAGATGCTATGTGATAAACCTACTTCCTACAGTAAAAAAATCTGAGTTTTGAAACACATTTGAATAAAGATTCGTAGATTTAAAAACTGTAGATTTACAAACTCTAATTAAAATATTCAGTGCTCAAATCTAGAGTTCCTTTTCCACAGTAAGATTAACATTTTATGTTACTAACTAAATTAGAACATATGACTCTAGCCACATATCTCCTATTCACTTACAAAGATGAACCAAATCTTCAGTACAGATTCTGAGAGCTTAGGAAAATGACTTACAATGCTGATAAAAATTTCATTGGGAACTCAAATCCTGAATATAAAATTGTAACTTAAAAAAAAATCACTTTCTGTTTTTTGTCTTTCTAAATTAAATTACATAAGGACTCTCATGTGAGTCTTTTGTAATTATGAAAAAGATATTAATTCTGATATTTGATATCCCATAAACGCAAACACACGCAAATGAATACTTAGTCACCAAACAAACACTAAATTTTTAAAGGTGCTTTTGTGAATTAAAAAAATATTAGAAAATTGTATTTGGAAACTGTCCAAATAACACATTAACTAAAGATTATTAAAAATAAATAATTTATCCTTAAGTACTAAAACCTAGTCCTAGAAATTCTGAATTTAAGTATATTAAGTCTTTCCAGGATCCTTAACATTGTGTTATTTATTCTGCTGCGCAGCGCCCAGAGGATCAAGCACTCAACACCACAAAACCAGTAAGGCTACTACCCATTTGGTTCCAACTCTGCACAATGTCCAAGACTGGGAAGTAAGTAAAAAAGATACCGAGCAGTTGAAACAGAGACTATAAAAGTTAGTGCGCTAAAGATCATGTACTTTACTAAAATAAATGGACTTTTGTTATCATCATTTATAATTTTCTATTTAAAAATGAGAGTAAAGAGGCCTTTATAATTATTTAGAAAAGGGAAAATCAGCCCAGAGGGTATCACTATGTCACAGCATAAGTATAAATATTAATATTTATAATAATTGAATAAAAAATGGCTAAATTATAACCCACATTAATTTGGCTTAAGTAGCAGGAAAGTGTTTCAGCTGACTTGTAGCACACACAATGGTTAAGTTCTAAGCTGAATTAACCAGTACAAGTTGACCATCCCTAATCTGAAAATCCAAAATCCAAAAAGCTCCAGAATCCTTAACGATTTGAGCATTGACATGATGCCGTAAGTGGAAAATTCCATACCTGACCTCATGTGATGGGTCACCGCCAAAATGCAATGAACATTTTGTTTCATGCACAAAATTATTGAAAAATATTGTATAAATTACATTCAGGCTATGCGTATAAGGTATGTATGAAAGATACATACCTTTTGTGTTTAGGCATGGGTCTTATTCCCAAGATATCTCATTATTCATATGCAAATATTCCAAAGTCTAGAAAAATTCAAATCTGAAACACTTGTGGTGCAAATATTCCAAAGTCTGGAAAAATCCAAATCTGAAACACTTGTGGTCCCAGGAGTTTCAGATAAAGGATATTCGACCTGTATAGTCAAAATTAAGCCTTGGAAATTCCTTTAGAGAGCACTCTGGCAGAGACTCTTTCAATAAAGCCCCACACAGCCAGTTTTTCTCTGGCATCAGACTAAATCAGAGTTTCTTTGATTAAGTAACAGATGAAATAGTTTGGTTTGTATTTGGGGGCCATGCTGTATTAAAAAAAAAGTTACCTAAAATTACAGTTATACTGAGTAAGGTAAATGCTTCGGCCATGAATAAAGCGGCAACGCAGGCAGTGACAGTACCAAAGGAAGAGCAGACTCCTCCCACTCCACGCTCATTCTGGAGGAAGTGTTCTGTCAGTAGGATTGGATTTAAAATTCTGTATAACATTTGAATTGATTTTTTTTCCTTCAAGGGCCTACAGTTGAATTCACTAAGTTAATTATACATATGATACGACTGCACTGTAATATACTTTACAGAGCATAAAGAGAAAAGCTTTAGGTCTTTGGAATATTCACAAATATGAAAGAATAAACAGTGTCACCCTATTAGTCTGTAAGCATCTACTCTCTAAGTATATAGGAAGATCTAGCAAAATTTGAGAAACTGAAAACAAGTACTACAGAGAAAAAAACAGATAAACCCACCCTTTTTTTTTTTAAAGGAAAGTATCACATATATAGGGGGAAGGAAATGATTAAGAAGAAAAACTACAAGGTTACTAAAGATTTTTTTTCAGCTAAACTTTTGGTAATGCTCACCTTTTAAATGTTCTTTGGCAAACACAAATCAAGTGAGTTTTACAATTGATATGGATATGCCTACTTAAGTAGTACAGGAAGACAATTCACATAAAAAAGACCATTATAAAATCCTTAGGAAGTTGAAGTTATATACTTCAGCTTTTCTATTTTAAGGGGTAGAGCAGATGAGGATAGATGAAACATGTCTATTTTCTTTGAAAACTCTCGAAAAATTTTATACAGCTTAGAAAGCTTAATTATCAGAGAAAACTACTGTAAGTTTACACTGTTAAAATCTCTATATTAGCACTATATGTAAAGTCTTCCTTTACATTGAAAATTTCATTATTGTGACTTTTAAGATGATAAAAGAGAAGAACTGGCTTTTGGTGATAAAGACACTAAAATTAATGGGATTATACATAACCTCTTAGGCCTCAGAATAACTGTGATTTTCTTCTACTTGATTTCTGAAGTATGATCATTTTTCTCATGAGCCGAAAGACTTCCATTTCATAGAAATACAGGTGACCCTTGAACAACACGGGTCTGAATTACGTGGGTCGACTTACACATATGTGGCTTCTCTTCTGCCCCTGCCACCCTGAGATGGCAAATGCCAAACCCTCCTCTTCCTTATTGGCCTACTCAACATAAAGACCTTTATGATGATCCACTTCCACTTAATGAACAGCATACATATTTTCTCTTCCTTAAATTTCCTTAATAATGTTTTCTTTTCTCTAGCTTACTTTATTGTAAAACTATAGTATATAATACATATAATACACAAAATATGTGTTAACTGGCTATGATATGGGTAAATAAGGTTTACTTACTTACAGCCAACACTAGGTAATTAGTAGTTAACTTTCTGGGGAGTCAAAAGTTATACCTGGATTTTCGACTGTGTGAAGGGGTTGGTTCCCCTAATCTCCAGGTTGTTCAAGGGTCAACTGTACCTTTTTTTAATCACCAAGTAAATTAGTTTATGGAACATTTTTTCTGGAGATCTTTAAGAAAAAGAGAAAATTTTCATATTTATAAGGCAGTTTAACTGTAACCTACCAGGTCATTAGGGAAACAGAGTAAGTATCTTTATAGTCCTTTCGAAATCTAAATTTAAATTATCTTTACAAAAATATGTAGTAACATAACTTTAACAGTGAATTTCTTTTTTTTTTTTGGTTTTATTTTATTTTTTTTCATTCCCACTGTTCACATAGGGAGGAAAGTTTTTGTTATTTTTTTTGTTTTATTTTTAACAGTGAATTTCTATAATCTATATGCTTCACATAATACAGACTTGTGCTTTAAAACAGAAAAGCTAAGATTACAGGAATATTTTAAATAGCATTCATTTTATACATTTCACATTGTAGCTATAATAGATATTATCTGAAAATATATCCAAAAATATTAAAACAACCCTTTAACTTAAATATTCTTCTCTGAAAAATTGGTTTCTCTCTTTTAAATTATTCTAAATTATTGTGTTAGCACATAACGTTATGCAAATCTACTTACTTGCTGGTCTCTACATTTAAGCTGACTAGGTAAAAGACTAGAGAAGTGGTCAAGCATAAAACAGTTAACAACTTAGGGTCCATTTTCTTTTCATATTATTTGAAAATATAATGAATCTTGTGGTTCACAGACTGCATTCAAGAAACAAATGTCACACATTAAATGGCAATAAATCACCTTTGTATGTGGGTATGTTTAAATGCAGACACATACACACAAGTGCCTACAGCAACAGGATTCAAATAAATACTGAGACCAAGGTCTTTTTTTAAAACTATTTTGAGAGAAAAGGACTTTTTTAGCCATAAATCTTGCAGACTCCAACCCCAACCCCAAGTCGCAGCCGATTAGGAAACAGGCTGCACATCACAGCCTGAGCTCTGCACCACCCTCCCCCAACCCACAACACCCCACCCACCCGACCCCTTGACCCCCTGTCCATGGAAAAATTGTCTTCCATGAAACCGGTCCCTGGTGCCAAAAGGGTTGGGGACCGTGGTAAAGTAGACCACATACTCAAAAAAAGTCATGGATGAACCCAGTATTTCTATAGAAATGTACATCGTAACAATAAACATACCAAAGTGTGCTGAGCCACTGCTACTTTTACTTTGCGTAGAGGTACTGCATGTCTGGGTCCCAGGTTGTGCTGTTCCTGTTCGATTTATACTCCTATATAATTTTCTACAGGAGAGTTCATCATTGTCACTGTCATGCAGGGATGGTGTCCGAGGCCTAAAATGCCGCCATCTACGTGATTTAATATTGACTAGTATCTGACTGAGGTCTTTAGAGAAAGTTTTGTCCGAGGTATTTGTTTCTGAGGTATTGGCAGACTGACTGCCTGGAGAGTGCCGTGGGGAGGAAAGCACGTCCAAATCCAGATGGCGAAGCATGCTGTCACAGTCGGAATGGGCTCTGTCCAGTAAGACCCTGTTAAAAATAAGACATGAAACATGTATTTAAAATAGCCCTTCAAAGATTATATAAAAAAGAGTTCTCTTTCTCTTCCCCAACTCCCCAAAAGCCAACTCATACTGAATATTTAAAAGCTACAGGGCCGGGTGCGGTGGCTCACGCCTGTAATCCTAGCACTCTGGGAGGCC